AAAATCCCAGTTCTGTACCCCCCAAAACTTTAGTAAACCAATTTCGGCCTTTTGGCAAAGATAAAGTTTTTAGTATCTGTTCTAATCATTGTCAGTAGTGGCGCTCCGCCGCCCTTTTTGTTTCCCTTGGCACGGTGGTTTGGCGTATGTACCCCTGCTGGATGATGGGGGGGCTCTGAATGTATAGGGGCTGGAACAGAAACCATGGTCCCCACAGGCGTTGGCCCCGGGGGGGCAATTCCCCCAGAAAAAACCGGGGGGGCCCATTTCCCTCCTATTTAAAAGGGCCTACCTGGTTGGCAGGGGCGGGGGGGCCCAGGGGGGTCTGCGGAGCAGTGGCCCCTGAGGGGGCGCCTCGGGGGTTTTGCTCTAGTAGAAAATTTGGGGGTGGGCCCCAAGTGTTGAACGGGGGCACATGGTCACTGGTCCAAAACTTTTTCTGCCTGCCCCTTTTAGGGGGGCCTTTTCTAGCCCAGGGAAATTTTATTTACAGGCCCAGGGCCTATCCTTTTGCCACATTGTAGGGCCACTTTATTATCTACATATTTCTCCCCAATTTTTGTCTAAATGTGCAGGGGTGGACTGTACCTTTGGAAACCTCGGGCACTGCCTGAGGGCCGGGGTCAGTGGGGGGCCCCATGGAGATGCCCCATGGGCGTACCTTTTTCTTTGGTTTTTTGAGTTTGGACAAGGACCACAGGGGCCCCATGATCCCTAATTCCGAGGCCCATGAGTTGTCAGTCCGGCCCCTGCTTATGTGTGTTTTTTTTTTCTCACGGATGAAGGGTTGTGGGACCTTGGCCCCCTGCCCTGAAGTCTGAGGGGGAGGATGTGTGGGCCCTTTTGGCGCGGAGGTTACAGCCCCCCGCCCCCCCCCCCCCCCCCGGGGGGCCCCCCCCCGGCTTCCTTCCTCCCCTGTTTCCTAGGTGGGGGGGGAGGTCCCGTGCGGGAGAGCCCCCAGACCTCAGTTTCTTGGTCGGTCGGCTGTTGTCGCTAGTCACTGGTGGACCATGTGGTACACCTAAGTCCATGTCTGGAGCACTTGTGCCATGGGGAACGAGGGTAGAGGTCCTGCCCACTGAAGGTTGGTGGGGGTGGAGTGTGGACTTATGCACACCCTATGTGCACCTTTTTGTAGTTTGTGTTTTGCTCGTTACACGTTTTTGTTGTTCTACTTACCGATTTTTTGGGTTTTTTCGGCCGCTGCTCGACGGACTTTATAAAAAAAACCTAAATAAAAATTAAATTTACATATATTGGTAATTTATTTGAGCTAAGACATGGATCAGAATACATTTTGGGCCTAAATTTGATGAAAAATGAGATAGAGTTGGTGACAAGACATGATTAATTGGCCAATAATGTCCTAAATGTTGTTTTTTTTTTCTCAAAAGTTGTTGGTCCTTTTTTTTTTTTATAGCGCAAAAAAATCAAAAAAAAAAACAAAAATACACAGGTGATCAAATACCACCGAAATATAAATCTCAATGCCGTGGGGGAAAATTAAGGACGAAATATTTCATTTGGGTTGATTGACGCGCACAAATTGTTCAGTTAAAGTAACAGCAAGTTGCCGTATTGCAATATATGGCGCTGGTCAGGAAGGGAGGGGGGGGAAAAATCCCTCTGGTGGGGGAGGGGTTAACATCAATTTTTTTTGAACAGAAGAAGACCCAGTTTTTTTTCTTCCGTAAATAAAAAAAAAAGGAAATACAGACTTGTAAATGGATGAAAAACGGATGGAACCGGGGCCATTTACGGTCCATTTTTTTCATTGGGTAAAGGATTTTAAAAACCTGATGTAAAAACTGACAAGAATCTGATTGTAAACTGATCCTGTTTTTGTTTGAAAAATATGTGACTGAACTGTCGAAAAAAACTGAACTCCCTTGTAAAGGACCTTAAGGCCTTGTTCACACCGATGCAATTTTTAAGTGCTTTTTTTGCCGGGAAACACACACTACAGTCCCATTTAACAAGGTTTCCTATGGAATGCATTCTATGCGTTTTAGTCACTGCATGTTTGTTAAGGGTCAGGGACTTGTTTTTTTTTCCCGCAGAAGATTGCAACAGGCATAGGTGTTGAACCGGGAGTAAGATGAAAGGATTCTCCTACTATGTTTTTTAGCCTTTGCAAATTTATAACTTTTCTACTGACATTATTGCTATTCTTTGTATGAAAAAATTAATAATAAACAGAAAGCGCCAATCATCAAAATATTTCTATAAAAAGCTGCAAACTTCTAACCCAAAAATATTTGGTGAAAAATAAAAAAACAAAATCAAATGCGCTTATATCATATATCGTCGCAAAACTGTGCAAAGATTTATAAATATATATTGTAAAAAAGAAACCCCAGTGAATCTCTACATAAATTGTTCATATACAAAAAGTCCAAAATCCCAAATTATTTCTTCTTAAATCAAATAAATCCACCGTGCTCAATCCACCACCAGATGAATGGAATAAACTCACCAGAGCTAGATGCTGATTCAAATTATAAATCAGCACAAGCGTATTTGCTCTGGGAGCGATGAGAAAATCCAAGGAAACACCCTCTGTAATTTAGAAATCCAGGCACCAGGAGCAATACTCCAGCAAACCACTCTACGATATGGCCAGGACTTTTTATACAGCGGTCCATCCTCCAAACACATGATAGTATCACTCCAAAGTAAAGAAAAGGCATGAATGGTGCAGTACGTAAAAACTATGTATGTTTATTTAAAATTCATATTACTCACAAAGCAAGTGTCCACCTGACACTGGTATACACAAGCGATAGAGATGCACAAAAGCATGTAACGATTCTTTTGACGAACGAACTCCGTTCACTGCGGACACCTCGCCGACAGTTGCCGGGAACGTCCATGACCTGTCATCCAATAGGCTCCGCCCTACGCGTTTCGTCACACTGACGTCCTCACGGAGCGGCATGGATTCAGACTCACTGGGGTTTCATTTTTACAATAGTATATTTTATAATCTTTGCACAGTTTTGCCACGATATATGATATAAGCGCATTCTGATTTTGTTTTTTATTCTTGTATGAAGTTGACAAAAATACAGCATATACACTATATTGCCCAAAGTATTGGCCCCACCCTTCAAATCATGTGATTCAGGTGTTTCAATCCCCTCCCAATATGATGATTCAGGTGTTCCAATCCCTCCATATCATGTGATTCAGGTGTTCCAATCCCCTCCATATCATGTGATTCAGGTGTTCCAATCCCCTCCCAATCATGTGATTCAGGTGTTCCAATCCCCTCCCAATCATGTGATTCTGGTGTTCCAATCCCCTCCAATTCATGTGATTCAGGTGTTCCAATCCCCTCCATGGACACAGGTGTATACAGTCAAGCCCCTAGGCATGCAGACGGCTTCTACAAACATTGGGTGATAGAATGGGTCGCTCTCAGGAGCTCAATGACTCCAAGCGTGGTCCCGTGATAGGTGGCCAACTGTGCAATAAGTCCATCCGTGACATTTCCTGGCTACTAAATATTCCACGCTCAACTGTTAGTGGGATTATAACAAAGTGGAAGCCACTGGGAACAACAGCCACTCAGCCACCAAGTGGTAGGCCACGTCACATGACAGGGCGGGTCAGCGCATGCTGAAGCGCACAGTGCGCAGAAGTCACCAACTGTCTGCAGAGTCAATAGCTAAAGACCTCCAAAACTTGGTGTGGCCTTCAGATGAGCCCAACAACAGTGCGTAGAGAGAGCTGCATGGAATGGGTTTCCATGGCCAAGCAGCTGCATCCAAGCTTCCATCACCAAGTGCAATGCAAAGCGTCGGATGCCGTGGTGTAAAGCACGCCGCCACTGGACTCTAGAGCAGTGGAGGCGTGTTTCTGGAGTGACCAATCATGCTTCTCTATCTGGCAATCCGATGCCCGTGTCTGGGTTTGGCGGTTTCCAGGAGAACGGTACTTGCCTGACTACATTGTGCCAAGTGTAAAGTTTGGTGGGGGGGGGGGATTGGGATTATGGTGTGGGGCTGTTTTTCAGGGGTTGGGCTTGGCCCCCTAGTTCCCATTGAAGGGAACTCTTAAGGTGTCAGCATACCAAGACATTTTGGACAATTTCATGCTCCCAACTTTGTGGGAAAGAGTTTGGGGATGGCCCTTCCTGTTCCAACATGACTGCCCACCAGTGCACAAAGCAAGGTCCATAAAGACATGGAGGAGCCAGTTTGGGGTGGAGGAACTTGACTGTCCTGCTCAGAGTTCTGACCTCAACCCCATAGAACACCTTTGGGATGAATTAGAGCGTAGACTGCGAGCCAGGCCTCCTCCTATACTCCGACATCAGTGCCTGACCTGACAAATGTGCTTCTGGAAAGAATGGTCCAACCTTCCCATAGACACCCTCCTAAACCTTGTGGACGGCCTTCTATCCCAGAAGAGTTGAAGCTGTTATAGCTGCAAAGGGCGGGGCCAACTCAATATTGAACCCTACGGACTAAGACTTTCGGGGGGCCATTAAAGGGTCATGGGGGGGGGGGGGGGGTGTGTGTGGAAAGGGCGGGGCCAACTTCAATATTGGAACCCTGCGGACTAAGACTGGGGAGGCCATTAAAGGTCATGTGCGTGGAAAAAGGCCGGCCAACCAATACATTTGGCAATATAGTGTAAGCCCTCATTGGTTTGTCATATGCTGATGTCAATGACTTTAGTCAACTCAATATATATGGAAACTGTACACCTGGCCTATATAACATCTACCCTTCATACACATTTGACAGATAATCTAGTCAGTTTCTTGCCAACGCTGAATAAATAGTTCAATGTTTTTTAAAACACAAGTATCAAAGCCAACAAGGAAGCTCTTTCACTTTTCTGTAAAGAGTCAACACAATGAATAACCCATGATTTGCATAGATTAGAGAACGCCGATGAAAAAGGTTTGTCCATTACACCGCTGGTGACAAAGCCTACTTCCCTCCCCTGCCAATTAATGTTTACCGTGTAACATGCAGAACTGGCAACGTAACAGAAGTTCCGAGACAACCGCTAGATCTACCCATAGCTACCAGAAAACCAGGTGAGACGGCTGAGAGTGTCTTCTTCTGTGCACCCTAGAGAAGAGGACAAAAAGTGTGGATTGGGTCTTTGATACCAGAGACCTACAGACTATGGCCTCCCATATGGGCTGCATCCTCCATTGGATGATCTTCATCTTCATGACCACTTCTGGTAAGTTGATTGGACACCGCTGAAGGAAAAAAAATAAAAGGTACCGATGTTTGTTTGATTATTTGTATTGTGTGTGAATATTGCTACAGTTATGTAGAACGTCAAGAACTGCCGGACATGTATTGTAAAAAGATTTATCTTCAGGCTCACCGGTGTGTGATCTGGGGGATTGTTAGCTTAGTGGTAGACAGGGCTGCTGTTAGAAACCATGGGGCCCCATACAGCCAACCTGACAGGACCCCCTCAAAAAAAAAAAAAAACAAAAAAAAAACAAACAAAAAAAAAAAAACAAAAAACGCAGTTTATTATGCTTCAGTTATGAATGATCAGTACCGATCACTCATTGTGTTCATTCAGGATAGGAATGGGCTAAATGTGACATATTTACTGGACCCTTCCCTCGGACTCCATCCTAAAGGACCCTTTTGTGTAACTGCAGTTGCCGGTGGAGAGGAGGGAAACTGGCAGCACTGCAGGGGTGGGGGCACACAGGGGGGCCTAGGCAGCAGAGGGAAACATATGGTGCACAGGGAGGGTGATGGGTGCGGCGGGGGTAATTACTGGAACCAATCTCATTTATGGCTCTCCACAGCAGATAAAAGCAAGTGGGAGGGAGAGGAGAAAGAAGCCAGCTTTCAGCTGTTGCAGAGAGCCATAAATAGGATTGGTTCCAGTAATTGCTCCCCCCCCATGCCAACCACCCTCCCTGCCCACAAATCTGAATCACCCAGCTTCCTGGGCCCCCCTACTGGCCTGGGCCCTGTACAGGAGGACTGGTGGTATCCCCTTATCCACAGTCCTGGTGGTAGATGTGTTGTTTAGTGAAGTCCAAAAATAAAGCAAAAGTCCAACATAAAGTTGGGTTTCTTCTCCAGCAAAATGCTGAACCACCTGGCTCTTAAGGCTCACCCATCCTTGGTCGCAGTACCTCGCTGCACAGGCCCAGTCCTAGCCTCTGAGACTCATGAATTCCTCTGGCCCCCTGGACTCCCCTCCCAGTTGTCTCAGCTCTAGTCTCCCAGGCACTCTCACTCCTCTGAGACTCATGGATTCTTCTGGCCCCCCTGGACTCCCTCCTAGTTGTCTCAGCTCTAGTCTCCCAGGCTCTCTCACTCCTCTGAGACTCATGGATTCTTCTGGCCCCCCTGGACTCCCTCCCAGTTGTCTCAGCTCTAGTCTCCCAGGCTCTCTCACTCCTCTGAAACTCATGGATTCTTCTGGCCCTCTGGACTCCCTCCCAGTTATCTCAGCTCTAGTCTCCCATACTCTCTCAGCTGGCCCAACTCGCTCAGCCCACTGACATGGAACCTCTCCTGCATGGATTGCTATCTCAAGTGGATTGCCTTAGTCTCTAGATAGGAGCTCACCTCCCTCCTGGCTGTAGAAATTTCAACTCAAACAGCAACAACTCCCCTGAGCTACATTCAGATCCCTTTTGCATTGATCCTCCTTGAGCTCACACAGGCTGCAAGAGTCAAGCAAAGCCTGGACACTGGATTGAAGGTTCCGTCCCACCCCAAGACACTTTGGAACCTTCAAGTTCCTGGCCCCGAGTAGATTACAATAGAATAGAAAAAAAACAATAGAATAAAATAGACTATAACTGTCTTCCGCAATTTGAATTTCAAATAGAATAAAAAATAAGAGAACAGAATAGAAAAGAATAGAATAAAAAATAAGAGAATAGAAAAAAAAAACAATAAATTAGAATAGAAAATAAGAGAATAGAATAGAAAAAAAAAAAAAAACCCCCAGAATGTAACCATCTTACGAAATTAGAATTTCAAATAGAATGAATTAGAATGCAACTTCGAATTTGGTCAAATTGAATAAGAAAAGAATAATCAAATTCAAAGATGAAACAGAACGAATTTAAAAAAAGAATTAAACAAATTTAACGAAACAAAATTATTTAAATTACAAATCGAAACAACTTTCTTCAGCCTGAAAATGTCTCCTTCCACCCGTGATAGTACGAGACCCTGGCATGGTGAGAATTTAGCAAATTTGTGTAAAAAGGATACCAGATCCTCAAAGGTTGAATTTGAGAAGCTCTGTCATTAAAGTGAATGGAGAAAGCCGTGCTCTATATTTTCTCTGGATTTGGTATTTGGTAAGTTGTCAAAGATCCCTCACTTATGGGTAAGGACTGGCCTGTTATGTACAGTACAGAATATGATGCACATGTAAGATTAAATGACTGACAATCTTTTGGGTCATCTGCAGGTGTCGATCCGGTGTTCTCTGATGATGTGGCTGTTTTGACGGAGCCATCCTCCACTTTAGCAACAACTGTTCCTAGCATCCCTATGGAAACCAAGAGCAGTACTTTATCCCAAATAACTACCGCCAGCACCACCAGTGTAACTGTCTCCACAGCTGTCACTACTACCACCAGTTTACATGACTCTACAACTGACACCAGTACCACCAGTATACCCAAATCTACACTTAACACCAGTTCACACCAGTAAAATAGGCTTTGAAGCTGACACCAGTACTATCAGTATAACTGTCTCAGAACCTGCAACCAGTTCTACCAAAGATATTGAGGAAGCTGGCTTTAGCACCATTGAATTGACCTCTGAAAGTAGGTCATCAGCTATGGAGACAGCCAACCTAGTGACCAAAGAAGTAACTTCAGAATTGTTCCCTGAGGAAATACCAACCAGCAATTCAGGAGCCACAGCTAGCAGCAGCACAATGGGCTCAACGGCTGAACCCATAACTGCTCCTTTTACTTTTCACACGGAGGAAATCTCTACAGTATGGGAGCCACTTTTTGTTTCCGAGACTACAGATACCTCTACATTCGGGATAAAGTCCAGTACAATTTCCACAGCTGGATGGTATACAGAAGAATCCAAGTTTCCAGCAGCTGAATCAATTGCAGATACACAAAATCCCTTTACAGATTTTACATCTCACACAAGTAGACCCCTTACTGATGCAGATGAAACAACATCTGAATTTCCAGCTGAAATAACTTTTGAAGCTCATACTGAATTTCCTACTGAAACAACCTCTGATGGTCCTACTGAATTCCCTACTGAAACAACCTCTGATGGTCCTACTGAATTCCCTACTGAAACAACTTTTGACGGTCCTACTATATTCCTAACTGAAATAACTTCTGATGGTCCTACTGAATTCCCTACTGAAACAACTTCTGGTGGTCCTACTGAATTCCCTACTAAAACAACTTCTGATGGTCCTACTGAATTCCCTACTAAAACAATTTCTGATGGTCCTACTGAATTCCCTACTGAAACAACTTCTGATGGTCCTACTGAATTCCCTACTATAAAAACTTCTGATGGTCCTACTGAATTCCTAACTGAAATAACTTCTGATGGTCCTACCGAATTCCTAACTGAAATAACTTCTGATGGTCCTACTGAATTCCTAACTGAAATAACTTCTCAGGGTCCTAATGAATTTCCTACTGAAATAACTTCTGATGGTCCTACTGAAGTCCCTACTGAAAGAACTACTGATGGTCCTACTGAATTCCTAACTGAAACAATGTCTGATGTTCCTACTGAATTCCTAACTGAAACAGCTTCTGA